CATTTTGTGTTGCATTTATTTTGGAAGATTTTCTTTATCTTTATTTGAATTATTACTTTTGATCATTTATTTGTATTTCATACTAAATGCCTGTTTACAATAAGGCACTTTTAGAATGAAGCCAATGTTTTTTGACAGTGAAATACAAACTGAGGAAAAAGATAAGCATATAAACTCTTTCTTCAGGTTGAGTTTGTACTATGCAGGTTTTGAAATTTTGGCATATATATACTTACACAGAACAGATCATTATGTAAGTGTGTATGTTCATATTTCCTCATGTTTGTTATTTCTTTTATCTAAGAATATGTAAGAATTTTCAAAATTATAACCATATGAATGTCATAACATACTAGAGAATCACAAGTGTGGCAAATGTCTTTCAGCTTCAGATAGTAATCATTTTATAATAATTATTATTTTTACATATATTTTACATATATTGTATCAATAGGGTACTTTAGAATATTTATTCAATTGTTTGGTCAGTTTGTGGCCTTTGAAGGTTGTTACAGAAGCTTGTTGATTTTTTAAAGTTTAAACAATACCAAAGTGCATTTAGTTATGGAGGTGCTTAAAAACTAACCTGCGGGACATAATTTATTACATAATTCTACATTTTTCTCTTTCTTTCCTTTGAAGTCATTCACAGTCATACTGAAAGCAAGTGATACCTTTATAACAGACTTATAATTAGATCTTTGTTTGTAGGTGAAGGAAAGTGCTTAGGCTATTGATTTTGTGTGACTGTAGAATTATCAATATTTTGATTTTTGTGTTTATTATTTATTGTTCAGGTTCTTATGTTAATATGACACAGAGTAATAGCTTATTTTATATGTTCAAGGAGTAAAGAAGATTGGTATAAAGCATATACATATAACTGCCATCTTTGAATAAGTGATATAATAAAGTTATGCATGAAAACCTTATGTGCAGGTTAACCCATTACCGCCGGTATATTTTGAAGCCAGAAATAAAAGATTCCGGGCGGCTACAAAATCGGTGCACGATTTTGTAGAAAAAAAAAGTTTTTGATAATTATATTATCGGATTAGAAAAATACATTGAGATACAAACTGCAATGATTATCAAGATATCAGTGAGTTTAGCACCAATAGAAAAATGGTTAGGAGGGTCACAAGATGTAATTATGGGGGCATCTGGTTGATATCCAACTATATTAATTATGAGTGGATATTTTTCTTTTTATGTTATTAACCTCAAGTAGTGTACATATTCTCATAATCTGAAACAATTTGATAAAAAATTGTAGGAGTGATTTTTTTTTCTTTTTTCTTTTTTAAATTAAACTTTAAAGATATATCTTGTTTAATTCATAACAAAATTTCATTATGTTTATACAGTAACCTTTGCCTTTTGTGTTCAGCATCTCCTGAATTTGGATTTCTCTCTTTTTTTTATTTATTTATTCTTTTACATAATTTTCAACTATCTTGATTTTTTCTTACAAGTCCATACATTCCTTCAATTTTGATTTTTTAAAAACTATTTTCCTCAAAGAAATTGTAGGAGACCATCTGCTCTTTCCAGCAAGACCTCCCAAGGAATTTTATTTCAATAACAGCAGTCATTTTGATTTATATTGTTGAAAATGACTTTTTGAGAATTCAAATCTCAAAGATGTTTATCTCTTTACCTTAACATAAAGGTCAAACATTATTTGCATTATCATAGAAGCCAAAAAAGTAATCATGTTTTCTTTTGCTTTCCGAATTATGATTAGGTAATTGGCCCCACCTTATAAAGTCAGCCTACCATTCACTTGGGGAAGGGTATCAGAAGGCACCTCCTTTGTCTTTGTCACCAAGTTTTATCGGTATCCTCCTGCTTCATAATCTAGTGATTTTGTTGTGATTTTCCTTTTTCTTGCAGAGTGTTTTCTCTGTCATGTCTTTCAAGACTTTCCTCTGACTTTTCATGTCTCCCAAATAGGGTCACAAAAATAAACTACTCTTTTTGAACCCAATATTGCATTCTAAGGTAGTCTATTAGGTATGGATATTCACATGAAATTCCTCATAAGATGGGATGGGTAGCAGTGATGAATGGAGTGGAGATGCAGTTGATTGCTCACTTGTGACAGGTGGCACTGAGCAAGTGACAGGCGCTCCCTTCTCCCTCACTTCTCTCTACTCCCTCAATTTTCTGGGTGGTCTTGATGCTGGTAGCCCTTCTTACATTCTTCAGTCTAGTTAGATATAGCTTTCTAGATTTACCCATGTTGGAAAAATGCATAAAAAACCTAGATTAGAAAACAGAGCAACATTCAGTTTGTGAGGCTAGTGTGGCACTGAGCATTCACTGTTTGTTACCAAAGGTATCTTTTGCACTCCTCCCCTTCCAGATATATAAGAATATACTTTAAAACACATATTTAGTTTATTTTTGTGAAATTTCACTTGTTTATTGTATGTGTATGCTAGGATGAGAGGAAAGGGCATGGGGGATACATAAGCCTATTATATCTCCATTATTATTCATAATTGTATACAGATACTTCATATGGTAAATTATCAACCACACACCATTTTTCAGTATTTTCTTTTTCCATAATATATTATTCTTTCAAATATTTCAACCAGATGCTTCCTTTAAGCTGATATCTGGAGCCCAAGAGATTTTCAGTTTGATATAGTACCTCCTTTATGTTTTGTAAACATTGTGTGTAAGGCAGTTAGATTTACTTTGAAAATTAACATGAACCTGTATAGTTTGTAAGAATCATTTGTTTGCTTTATGATAATGACTATATTTTTTTATTACTGTAATATGTGTTCATTCCTCTGCATGTTCAGTATGTGTCCATATATATTGAAAAGCTAAGCATTGTCTATCACTTTAAAATGTTGTAAGATGACAAGAATGTGATAATTCTTTTTTTGTGACTTATTACTGCCATGCCAATGGATGATAATTTATACAGTAGGATTGGAAAACTGGAACTTGTAGGGTTGAAACTTATATTAAATCCAAAGGGAAGAATGAAGTTTATATTTTTACCCTGGTTTTTGAGGCAACCGTCCCTGGCGTGGAGAGGGGGGGGGATTTTGGGTCAGAGTGGTTGAAAATGAGCTATGGTTAGTTTTATATTCGTATATGAGTGCAGAATTACCCACGGTAATATAAACTCCCGCAATGAAATGTTAAGACAGCACGCGAGGCCAGAACCGCAAGTCTTATTACCGCTGTATCAGCGGTTTTCACCCCTCCGCACTCTCGCTTTACTGGAACAAAAATGATGCATTGTATTATGACATTACATATTGAACTGGATTACATCAAGATAAAAGTGTCTCATTATAAAATTTCCTTCCCAGACTGAAAGATTTGATAAAAAAAAAAAAAAAAAAAAAAAAAAATTAATTTGATTTTGACATATTCATCATATAAGTATGTTTAGGGTTCGATGATAATACATGAGCAGTTACAAGTCTGTATATCTAAAAATAAATTCGCAACAAAAAGATATTTACACATGCTGGGTGCTCACCCATGTCATTGGCTATCTTGGAGGGACCCAGCCGACAGAGTTCCAAGCGTTGTAACCACTTTAGACTTTTCTCATTGCAATAATTTTATGTTTGCTTTATCATTTGAAATCAAATATTCTATTAAACATCACTGTCATTATGAATCCATTTTACAAAAAAAATAATTGAAAAGACCGTACATGATAAAAAAAATTGTGTAAACTCCTAACATAGGCCCACAAATATCTGATACCTATTGTATAATCAAAAATTTTAATAAAAGAGGCATAAAACAAGCAACACCCAGTTTTATATAACGGTCATGTTGGCTTTGATCTGGATTTGCCCCTTTTTACGTGAGTCATTTGTTTGTTTGTTTCTACAACTCTGAGACTAATGATCATATATATATGCAACAAAGTGCATTTGAAAGAGAAATGATAGTAGTTTCTATGGTATTGGTATAGTAAAGGTTCATAAATAAAAAAGTACAAAAAATTAACTTCAAGTTTCAAACTTTTTGTTTGCTTGTTTTTAATATTTTCTTTTATGAGCTTTGGTTGAGTCCCAGAGTTCTTAACCAATTAAATTTTCAAATGTACCTTTATAAACCTCTCAAAATGCATGGACAACAACTCATCAGATTTTTAAAATTTGCATTTGTTTTTATACAAATTTTAAAAAATAAAAACAGGTAAAAATAATGTTTAAAAAATTTTCTTTCCCTAATTTTTGAGGAAACTAAATTGAATTTTCCAAAAAGCCTACATAGATGTAGGAAATCAGGTTTTTGTGGGACATCAACCCCCAACATGGGTACCCCCATAATTTTGGTATCAAAATATGTGGAATATTAAAATACATCAAATATCCAAAAATCAAGAAATTCATAACACCATTTTTTTCTTTTAATATTTAACAATATGCC